GTATGGGGTCCACCACCACCACCCACAGGATGAGTATGGGGTCCACTACCACCCACAGGATGAGTATGGGGTCCACCACCACCCACAGGATGAGTATGGGGTCCACCACCACCCACAGGATGAGTATGGGGTCCACTACCACCCACAGGATGAGTATGGGGTCCACCACCACCCACAGCATGGGTATATGGCATACAAAATGAACTAAACTAAACTCATGTTATCCAAATAATCTCATATCATCGAGAGGGTCTATAAATCTTACAATATAATAACCTTTCTTAAGTGCAGAGAACCTCTGGAAGCGTTCAATGAACCTTCCTAGCGAACCTTGAACCTCCTGATTATTAGGGGAATAAAACTTTGATCTTTTAAACCAAGATCCAGCCTCCAAGATCTTTTAAAACTGCCAAGATTTCTTGCATGCAATAAACCTCACTGGAAAAGGAATTATCCTCTCCTGGAGATCATAAAATGTTGATGCCAAGACATTTACCTGCTTCAAGTGGACCTTGCAATAGTGAATCTTGCAATACTGAACCTTCTTAGAGCAGCCATAAACTGCTTTTTTATTTTTGGGAACTTGAGTTGCATTTTGAACTTGGGAAGCATTGTGAACTTCTGAGCTTTGGGGCTTCTGCTGGAACACCCCATATTGCAACACATTCTCCTGCAACTGGGTGAGTGAAAACAGTTTCAAACCTCACAAAAGACACTATGGTAAAGCACTCCTAGAGTGTAAGAGCTTATGTGTATCCTCACCAGCCTCCTGGTACTCTGGATCCTGGACATTGAACGTTCCTGGACCTCCAGGAATGTTGAATGTGACTTCCTCTTGGCGAGGAGGAAGTCACGCTTGGACACAACTGGCTCCTCTGGTCAGAGACATCGGTGTTGTGTTGACTACGATGGTTCAGTTCAACTGTGACTCGCAGCGGCCTGTAGGTTGGACGGATACAGTTCTTGAATACACTGACTGACCGCTATCAGGCTGGACAATTGGATGGATAACAGGCTGGACAAGAGACTAGATAACAGGTTGGTCAACAGAACTAGCTCCAAGACAGCTGGCTAACAGCACCTTACAAGACTCAAACGAGTAATTTCCTGTTATTCCATTTCTACTCTTCCAAGGTTTTGACATTTTCTGCACGATAACGAACAAGAATTTCTCGATATCCGTCACAGGTAAACTGACTCACTGCTGCTCGCTGCAGAGAGTATGAAGTATACAATTGATGTTGCATACGGATACAACAGGCCTGTTGCATAAGTTACCTGTTGCATAGGGTACCTGTTGCATGTATGATCTCCTTCCCTCCCCTCCCCCCTTTCCTCCTACCTTCTCTACCTGTTATCATGTTCTTGAGATGAAGAACGTCGTAATGAGAAGGTATATCTTCCTGATATATATATATATATATATATATATATATATATATATATATATATATATATATATATATATATATATATATATATATATATATATATACATATACATACATATATATTTATTCAATATATATACTCGTCAGTTACAAGTGCTTGATATGTTATATTTGGCTGTCTCTTCTGTACTGGCATGTTATCTTAGTGATATCATTGCTTATTGATATGTTATCATTGGGGCTTTATAATATGTTATTATTGCTGTTTAATGACATGTTATCATTGGTGCTTAATAACATGTTATCATTGGTGCTTAATAACATGTTATCATTGGTGCTTAATAACATGTTATCATTGGTGCTTAATGACATGTTATCATTGGTGCTTAATAACATGTTATCATTGGTGCTTAATAACATGTTATCATTGGTGCTTAATGACATGTTATCATTGTTGTTTAATAACATGTTATCATTGTAGCTTAATGGGATGTTATTATTGTTGTTTAATAATATGTTATCATTGGTGCTTAATGACATGTTATCATTGTTGTTTAATAACATGTTATCATTGTAGCTTAATGGGATGTTATTATTGTTGTTTAATAACATGTTATCATTGGTGCTTAATGACATGTTATCATTGTTGTTTAATAACATGTTATCATTGTTGTTTAATAAGATTGTAAAACTCAGTTTGTAAAACAGTTTGTGAAATTCTCTCTCTTTTGATTGGCTGGTAGTGTACCACCTCGTTACCTATAACGGAATGCGCGTCTGTGATTGGCTAGCTCGCTAACTGCTCTTGCAACGCGCGTCTGTCATTGGCTGGAGGATAATTAAGGAGGCGGGATGCGTGATTGGTCGGAGTTTCAGTAGCAGCTGTGATAGGCCCTTAGGGATCGCCGCCTCCTTGAGGTGCTTCCGGGGCTTAGTGTCCCCGCGGCCCGGTCGTCGACCATTGCCTCAGACAATAACACAGGATGCATTGATGATGCATTTTACCCACGGTAATATTTCGTGTCTTGCTTTGTTGAGCCCTTGAGCCCTTTGAGTTCTTGAGCCCTTTGAGTTCTGAGTACTTGAGCCCTTTGAGTTCTGAGTACTTGAGCCCTTTGAGTTCTGAGTACTTGAGCCCTTTGAGTTCGGAGTACTTGAGCCCTTTGAGTTCTGAGTACTTGAGCCCTTTGAGTTCTGAGAACTTGAGCCCTTTGAGTTCTGAGTACTTGAGCCCTTTGAGTTCTGAGTACTTGAGCCCTTTGAGTTCTGAGTACTTGAGCCCTTTGAGTTCTGAGTACTTGAGCCCTTTGAGTTCTGAGTACTTGAGCCCTTTGAGTTCTGAGTACTTGAGCCCTTTGAGTTCTGAGTACTTGAGCCCTTTGAGCTCTGAGTACTTGAGCCCTTTGAGTTCTGAGTACTCAGTCCAACGCCCCACTTTATCTCTGAGCCCCCCTCAGTGCTCTCAGAAGTCACCGGAAAGCGTAAAGTTCACATACGGTGCGTGAGAAAGGGGGGGGGGAGTTACGGTGCGGGGGGGGGGGCAGCGACGGTGTGCTAATGGTACTGTGCTTATCTCTCGTATGATGCGTGTTGGCCGCTTACATCTTGTCCCGGGTTCGAAACCCACCGTCCCCTCACTATTATATATGTACGGCGAAACTTGGTGGTTGACGCGAACATTGTCTTACGTTCCTAAGTGGCAAAAATATGCAAATTCAATTCAGGAAGTAAAACAAAGTCATAGAGATAACTGCAGGCTGACTTAACCTGCGGCCCCGAACTTGTCTTAACTTTCCTAACTTGGCTTAAAACTTGCCGGAGTTATTCTTGATGGGGGAAAAAAACCTTGGGTAGCGAAGATTGGCTTGGGTGAAGCAGATGTGGTTATCTTGCGTGAAGCAGACGTGGTTATCTTGCGTGAAGCAGACGTGGTTATCTTGCGTGAAGCAGATGTGGTTATCTTGCGTGAAGCAGACGTGGTTATCTTGCGTGAAGCAGACGTGGTTATCTTGCGTGAAGCAGACGTGGTTATCTTGCGTGAAGCAGACGTGGTTATCTTGCGTGAAGCAGACGTGGTTATCTTGCGTGAAGCAGACGTGGTTATCTTGCGTGAAGCAGACGTGGTTATCTTGCGTGAAGCAGACGTGGTTATCTTGCGTGAAGCAGACGTGGTTATCTTGCGTGAAGCAGACGTGGTTATCTTGCGTGAAGCAGACGTGGTTATCTTGCGTGAAGCAGACGTGGTTATCTTGCGTGAAGCAGACGTGGTTATCTTGCGTGAAGCAGACGTGGTTATCTTGCGTGAAGCAGACGTGGTTATCTTGCGTGAAGCAGACGTGGTTATCTTGCGTGAAGCAGACGTGGTTATCTTGCGTGAAGCAGACGTGGTTATCTTGCGTGAAGCAGACGTGGTTATCTTGCGTGAAGCAGACGTGGTTATCTTGCGTGAAGCAGACGTGGTTATCTTGCGTGAAGCAGACGTGGTTATCTTGCGTGAAGCAGACGTGGTTATCTTGCGTGAAGCAGACGTGGTTATCTTGCGTGAAGCAGACGTGGTTATCTTGCGTGAAGCAGACGTGGTTATCTTGCGTGAAGCAGACGTGGTTATCTTGCGTGAAGCAGACATGGTTATCTTGCGTGAAGCAGACATGGTTATCTTGCGTGAAGCAGACATGGTTATCTTGCGTGAAGCAGACATGGTTATCTTGCGTGAAGCAGACGTGGTTATCTTGCGTGAAGCAAGACGTGGTTATCTTCGGTCAAGCAGACGTGGTTATCTTCGGTCAAGCAGACGTGGTTATCTTCGGTCAAGCAGACGTGGTTATCTTGCGTCAAGCAGAGATGCAGCATCTCACTCGCGACGTATTTTTATCTCTGTGACGTCAGGCTGTTATCGTGGGGGACGACAGTGTGACGTCACTCAGTGCAATAACGTGACGTCACGCTATCGCACTGAGTGACGTCACACCTTCCTAGGTGTGACGTCACAAGGTCTCCTGCTTATCAGGACAAATATCTGCGAGTTATAAAGGAATAAATGATATATCTAAAGATAATAATAACATAAAGTTACTTATTATATTACATTTCATAACCATTAGAGAGAGAGGGAGCAGGGGGGGGGGGGGCAGGAGAGCCTTAAAGGTCAGGGGAAAAGGGGGGTGAATAGGGGTAATAGGGTGAAAAGGGGTCGCCTCTCAAGCGGATGCTGAGATCTCCACTTATCTCCCCGCGACGTCTCGCTCAGTCGGGGGGATGCTGCCCGCAGTCAGCGTTCGTTCGCTCGCTCACGCTCCTGTATGTCCGCACATGCGTGCGCAGTTGCGCTCAAGATGAGGACTTAAGGTGCGAGGAAGGCTCCAGAGAGGATCAATTCCTCCTTGATATCTTATATCGATATCATATATATTGATATCTTGAGGATAACGACCGGGGAAGCTGTAGAAAGCGACAAGGTTGCATTTGCAACAATTTATCCTTGCACAGAGGGAGTGGGGGAGGTGTCCTATGCATCAGGTCAAGTCTCCGGCTCCTCTAGCTTCTTTGGACTGTTTAATGTGTGGTTTTTTACAGTATTAAAACATGTTTTATAACATGTAATTTTGACTGTTACAGCCACGGGATTGTTGAGATGTGAATGGGTGTATTATTGGTGGTGTATGGTGTATCATTCAGCACTGTGTATGGTGTATCATCCAGCACTGTGTATGGTGTATCATTCAGCACTGTGTATGGTGTATCATTCAGCACTGTGTATGGTGTATCATTCAGCACTGTGTATGGTGTATCATTCAGCACTGTGTATGGTGTATCATTCAGCACTGTGTATGGTGTATCATTCAGCACTGTGTATGGTGTATCATCCAGCACTGTGTATGGTGTATCATTCAGCACTGTGTATGGTGTATCATCCAGCACTGTGTATGGTGTATCATTCAGCACTGTGTATGGTGTATCATCCAGCGTGTATGGTGTATCATCCAGCACTGTGTATGGTGTATCATCCAGCACTGTGTATGGTGTATCATTCAGCACTGTGTATGGTGTATCATCCAGCACTGTGTATGGTGTATCATCAAGCACTGTGTATGGTGTATCATTCAGCACTGTGTATGGTGTATCATCCAGCACTGTGTATGGTGTATCATTCAGCACTGTGTATGGTGTATCATCCAGCACTGTGTATGGTGTATCATCCAGCACTGTGTATGGTGTATCATTCAGCACTGTGTATGGTGTATCATCCAGCACTGTGTATGGTGTATCATCCAGCACTGTGTATGGTGTATCATCCAGCACTGTGTATGGTGTATCATCCAGCACTGTGTATGGTGTATCATCCAGCACTGTGTATGGTGTATCATCCAGCACTGTGTATGGTGTATCATCCAGCACTGTGTATGGTGTATCATCCAGCACTGTGTATGGTGTATCATCCAGCACTGTGTATGGTGTATCATCCAGCACTGTGTATGGTGTATCATTCAGCACTGTGTATGGTGTATCATTCAGCACTGTGTGTGGTGTATCATTCAGCACTGTGTATGGTGTATCATCCAGCACTGTGTATGGTGTATCATCCAGCACTGTGTATGGTGTATCATCCAGCACTGTGTATGGTGTATCATCCAGCACTGTGTATGGTGTATCATCCAGCACTGTGTATGGTGTATCATTCAGCACTGTGTATGGTGCATCATTCAGCACTGTGTATGGTGTATCATTCAGCACTGTGTATGGTGTATCATTCAGCACTGTGCATGGTGTATCATCCAGCACTGTGTATGGTGTCATCAGCACTGTGTAGCACTGTGTATGGTGTATCATCCAGCACTGTGTATGGTGTATCATCCAGCACTGTGTATGGTGTATCATCCAGCACTGTGTATGGTGTTCATTCAGCACTGTGTATGGTGTATCATCCAGCACTGTGTATGGTGTTCATTCAGCACTGTGTATGGTGTATCATCCAGCACTGTGTATGGTGTTCATTCAGCACTGTGTATGGTGTATCATCCAGCACTGTGTATGGTGTATCATTCAGCACTGTGTATGGTGTTCATTCAGCACTGTGTATAGTGTCACCCATCACTGTGTATAGTGTCACCCAGCACTGTGTATAGTGTCACCCAGCACTGTGTATAGTGTCACCCAGCACTGTGAATAGTGTCACCCAGCACTGTGTATAGTGTCACCCAGCACTGTGTATAGTGTCACCCATCACTGTATAGTGTCACCCAGCACTGTGTATAGTGTCACCCAGCACTATATAGTGTCACCCATCACTGTATAGTGTCACCCATCACTGTATAGTGTCACCCAGCACTGTACAGTGTCACCCAGCACTGTGTATAGTGTCACCCAGCACTGTACAGTGTCACCCAGCACTGTATAGTGTCACCCATCACTGTGTATAGTGTCACCCAGCACTGTGTATAGTGTCACCCAGCACTGTACAGTGTCACCCAGCACACTATAGTGTCACCCAGCACTGTATAGTGTCACCCAGCACTGTACAGTGTCACCCAGCACACTATAGTGTCACCCAGCACTGTATAGTGTCACCCAGCACTGTACAGTGTCACCCAGCACTGTATAGTGTCACCCATCACTGTGTATAGTGTCACCCAGCACTGTGTATAGTGTCACCCAGCACTGTACAGTGTCACCCAGCACTGTATAGTGTCACCCAGCACACTATAGTGTCACCCAGCACTGTATAGTGTCACCCAGCACTGTATAGTGTCACCCAGCACTGTACAGTGTCACCCAGCACTGTATAGTGTCACCCATCACTGTGTATAGTGTCACCCAGCACTGTGTATAGTGTCACCCAGCACTGTACAGTGTCACCCAGCACACTATAGTGTCACCCAACACTGTATAGTGTCACCCAGCACTGTATAGTGTCACCCAGCACTGTATAGTGTCACCCAGCACTGTATAGTGTCACCCAGCACTGTGGCTCAGCTAACTGTGCCTTGTTCCCTCCACAAGTCTATATAGCGGTTTACTGCTGCCAGGCTAAATGCAAATACAATTAAAATATTACACACAGAGATCACAATAACGTGATTCATCAAATGAACAAATCCACAAGAACCTGCTCCAGGACGCAGGTTCGAATCCTCGTCACGGCCCTTGTGGATTTGTTAATTTAATTAAGATATTCCTGCGCGGGCCCTAAGCCTCTGGCTGATCCCTGAGGCTCATATCAGTGTGATTGGGGAGGGTTTAGGGCTCGTATTTGGGTTTAACTGATCTCGTATCAGGGTTTAATAGATCTAGTGTCTTGGGTAAAGTAAAGGTTGTAGGGTTTTTTTCCCTCTGCCATGACTCGGTTGAGTAATAAACTTAATTTATACCTTGAAAGGATACCTGATGAACCAGGCCGTGAGTCATTTGGTCAGGGTGCGAGCAGCCGCGTCCAACAGCCTGGTTGACCGGTCGGCTAACTAACCTTGAGGCCTGGTCAGAGACCGGGCCGCGGGGACGTTGATCCTCGGATCTATCGATGGGTACATGAAATCGGATTTTTTTTGCTTAGTCTGAAGTTGAGTTGGAGCGAGTTTGTTGTTGTTCTGGTTATGTCACCCTGTCAGTGTCACCCTGTCAGTGTCACCCTGTCAGTGTCACCCTGTCAGCGTCACCCTGTCAGTGTCACCCTGTCAGTGTCACCCTGTCAGTGTCACCCTGTCAGTGTCACCCTGTCAGTGTCACCCTGTCAGTGTCACCCTGTCAGTGTCACCCTGTCCGCTGACACATTAATGACACTATGTAAAAGACACATCTAACACTTTATGTAGGACATACGTAAATCTGTGTATCTATGTATTTACGTATGTAGGTTAGCTTAGCATTTTAAAAGCACCGAATCACCTTCTGTGGTTGAGTGTTCAATACACCCTTGAACTATATGTTTAACACATCTCTAACCCTGTCCATGGAGGACAGAAGAAAATGTATATATGCTGGTTAGCATTGTAAATGTCCGGCCACGTCTGTGGTAGAAAAATAAATAAAAAAAGTACTATATACTCACACATCACTTGGGTTGAGTCTTCAACCTTGTGGCGTGGAAACCCCAGCTCCACCCACGTGACTAAAGGAAGCCAGGGTAAACTATTAAACATAGTCAACAACCGGTATTTCCTAGTAACTCTGATCTAAAATGATGACAAATTTGGCGTTTTTGTGTCTGATTCTTAATGTATTTTGTGACTCACTTCCTTGTTTTGAGGGTTAGCATCAACTTTACCCCCCCCCCCCCCATAGATTTAGAGGTTTCAAAAGCAAATGATCTTGTCCAGTTGTTAGATCAGACCCGTTGGCACGAGGTTAGGTTATCTTGAGATCTTGAGATGATTTCGGGGCTTTTAGTGTCCCGCGGCCCGGTCCTCGACCAGGCCTCCACCCCCAGGAAGCAGCCCGTGACAGCTGACTAACTCCCAGGTACCTATTTACTGCTAGGTAACAGGGGCATTCAGGGTGAAAGAAACTTTGCCCATTTGCTTCTGCCTCGTGCGGGAATCGAACCCGCGCCACAGAATTACGAGTCCTGCGCGCTATCCACCAGGCTACGAGGCCCCTACGAGGAGGTACCTGGAGCTTTGTAATTACTTTATTATATCTCTTGGTCTTGAGGATATCCTCATAATGCACCCAGAATTTGCCTTTGTAGATTACTGACAACATGACCTTGTATGACTAACTATAGAGAGAGCCGGTAGGCCGAGCGGACAGCACGCTGGACTTGTGATCCTGTTGTCCTGGGTTCGATCCCAGGCGCCGGCGAGAAACATTGGGCAGAGTTTCTTTCACCCTATACCCCTGCTACCTAGCAGTAAAATAGGTACCTGGGAGTTAGTCAGCTGTCACGGGCTGCTTCCTGGGGGTGGAGGCCTGGTCGAGGACCGGGCCACGGGGACACTAAAGCCCCGAAATCATCTCAAGATATATCCTCAAGCTCCTATACCATCTAGCATATGGTGATGTTGTAGCTGGCTACTCTATGGTCACTATACACCTAGTGTATTGTGTAATGTATTGTGTAAATGGTGTTCTCGATATGCACCGACTCTGTGGTCGAGTCTTCCTGTTAGTTACCATTTCTGCACCTTCATCTGCAATGTCATTCCCTGACATTCCTTCATGACTTGGCACGCAGCTGATAAGTACGTAACAACCTTGACGAGTTAGGTGGCTGTATTGATGGTATGACTTGAGTGGTCAGATAAATGTTGTTAAGTAAGTACTCTTGTCTTAAGTCTTCACTAGTGCTTCTTGACTCTGGTGGTGAGGCTTCTTGTATATATATATATATATATATATATATATATATATATATATATATATATATATATATATATATATATACATGGTATGCATAACACATCCTAAAACATGGTGTTGAAAACACTGAACATGTCAACTCATGGTATACATAGCTCAGTATATATATTCAGCCACGGTACATAGCATGGAACATACATACATGGTATATGTATCACAGAACACACCCACACATGGTGCATATACCTCCATTATGAGATACCTGCGCACTTAGCAGCTCTCTCATACACCAGCTGCGCATGACATTACTGCCTTCCTAGGTGACCGTATCCACCATTTTCAGTCAATTAATCCATGTCTTGGTGGATATATCCTCCTTGGATTCGATTTTCTCTCTCTCAGAGCGGTGTCTCCTTCAGTGTCCCGGTAATATGTCATAATCTAGAGCACTGTCGGTATATTTTGTAAACATCACTGCATGAAGTTTTACATTATAGTAAAAACAAAATAATTCAATTCATATGGTATTCCAAGATTCGTTGTGTGGGGGGGAGCCCCATTGGCGCCGTGTCGAGTGGCACTCGTTTCATTCATGTCAACTACAACCCGACCATGTAAGCGTGTACCCAACAGTAGTTACTGTTGAAAACTGTGTGAGGCTAACCCCAAGCATCTGTCCTCCAGTCTTGTGTAACCCTCTCGTTCTTAATCCTTGTTATTATTACTCTCTATTATTGCTGTTTATTATTCATTAATATCCTTTTTTTCCTCTGTTTGTCCTTATGCACTTGACTCCATTATCCATTATCCCTGACCTTACATTTATTATTATTACCTTAGTTATGAAGCAGTAATTAATGTTTACGGTACTTTTGTATTGTCCTTTTTAGCTGGCTCTTGTAATATATTTAATATTACTCTTATTTTCACCTTCCTTCTCTTCAACCATCTGTTACTTGCACACTTTGTACCTGTCTTGCGTCATCTGCGTACTCTGCGTCATCTGCGTCATCTGCGTACTCTGCGTCATCTGCGTACTCTGCGTCATCTGCGTTATCTGCGTCATCTGCGTCATCTGCGTTATCTGCGTACTCTGCGTCATCTGCGTACTCTGCGTACTCTGCGTCATCTGCGTCATCTGCGTCATCTGCGTCATCTGCGTCATCTGCGTCATCTGCGTCATCTGCGTACTCTGCGTACTCTGCGTCATCTGCGTACTCTGCGTACTCTGCGTCATCTGCGTTATCTGCGTCATCTGCGTCATCTGCGTCATCTGCGTCATCTGCGTCATCTGCGTACTCTGCGTACTCTGCGTACTCTGCGTCATCTGCGTACTCTGCGTCATCTGCGTACTCTGCGTCATCTGCGTACTCTGCGTCATCTGCGTACTCTGCGTCATCTGCGTACTCTGCGTACTCTGCGTCATCTGCGTACTCTGCGTCATCTGCGTACTCTGCGTCATCTGCGTACTCTGCGTCATCTGCGTACTCTGCGTCATCTGCGTCATCTGCGTACTCTGCGTACTCTGCGTCATCTGCGTACTCTGCGTCATCTGCGTACTCTGCGTCATCTGCGTACTCTGCGTACTCTGCGTCATCTGCGTACTCTGCGTCATCTGCGTACTCTGCGTCATCTGCGTACTCTGCGTCATCTGCGTACTCTGCGTCATCTGCGTACTCTGCGTCATCTGCGTACTCTGCATACTCTGCGTCATCTGCGTACTCTGCGTCATCTGCGTCATCTGCGTACTCTGCGTCATCTGCGTACTCTGCGTCATCTGCGTACTCTGCGTTATCTGCGTCATCTGCGTACTCTGCGTACTCTGCGTCATCTGCGTACTCTGCGTACTCTGCGTACTCTGCGTCATCTGCGTACTCTGCGTACTCTGCGTCATCTGCGTACTCTGCGTACTCTGCGTCATCTGCGTACTCTGCGTACTCTGCGTACTCTGCGTCATCTGCGTACTCTGCGTACTCTGCGTCATCTGCGTACTCTGCGTCATCTGCGTACTCTGCGTACTCTGCGTACTCTGCGTACTCTGCGTCATCTGCGTACTCTGCGTACTCTGCGTACTCTGCGTCATCTGCGTACTCTGCGTACTCTGCGTACTCTGCGTACTCTGCGTCATCTGCGTACTCTGCGTCATCTGCGTACTCTGCGTACTCTGCGTCATCTGCGTACTCTGCGTACTCTGCATCATCTGCGTACTCTGCGTACTCTGCGTCATCTGCGTACTCTGCGTCATCTGCGTACTCTGCGTACTCTGCGTCATCTGCGTACTCTGCGTCATCTGCGTACTCTGCGTCATCTGCGTACTCTGCGTCATCTGCGTACTCTGCGTACTCTGCGTCATCTGCGTACTCTGCGTCATCTGCGTACTCTGCGTCATCTGCGTACTCTGCGTCATCTGCGTACTCTGCGTACTCTGCGTCATCTGCGTACTCTGCGTACTCTGCGTACTCTGCGTACTCTGCGTACTCTGCGTCATCTGCGTACTCTGCGTCATCTGCGTACTCTGCGTCATCTGCTTACTCTGCGTACTCTGCGTTATCTGCGTCATCTGCGTACTCTGCGTACTCTGCGTCATCTGCGTACTCTGCGTTATCTGCGTCATCTGCGTACTCTGCGTACTCTGCGTCATCTGCGTACTCTGCGTACTCTGCGTCATCTGCGTACTCTGCGTCATCTGCGTACTCTGCGTCATCTGCGTACTCTGCGTACTCTGCGTCATCTGCGTACTCTGCGTACTCTGCGTACTCTGCGTCATCTGCGTACTCTGCGTACTCTGCGTCATCTGCGTACTCTGCGTCATCTGCGTACTCTGCGTACTCTGCGTCATCTGCGTACTCTGCGTCATCTGCGTACTCTGCGTACTCTGCGTACTCTGCGTTATCTGCGTACTCTGCGTACTCTGCGTCATCTGCGTACTCTGCGTCATCTGCGTACTCTGCGTCATCTGCGTCATCTGCGTCTCCAACACTGCGTCATCTGCGTCTCCTTCAAGGCGTAATTTCGTTTCATTAAAAATAGCAAAATTAACTTCTTGGAGGTGAACTTATAAGCACCATACAACTAATTTAGTGCCTTAACTGCTTATGACCTCAGCCAAAACGAGCGTAATTGAGTGGTTGGCATGACGGGAAGGTGACTGGTACTTGCGGGTGGATCTAGGTCAGTTCCTGGTAAAACATGTTGTGTGTCCATCTCTTCAGTGGCCCGGAGGCTATCCGCTGATTGTCTGGAGGTCAAACGTGTATTGAATTAACCCTGACAGATCTTGATGCAAGTATCTCCTAGCCTGTGTGTGTGTGTGTGTGTGTGTGTGTGTGTGTGTGTGTGTGTGTGTGTGTGTGTGTGTGTGTGTGTGTGTGTGTGTGTGTGTGCGCGCGCGCGCGTGTGTGTGTGTGTCAAGTGATGACGAAGTCCATTCAGACACAAGGTCGAGACTCGTCTGTCTACAACCCTCCCCCACAAGGACCCACAACTCACAACAGAGGCTCACAACAGAGGCTGACAACAAGAGGCTCACAACAGAGGACGAGAGGGAATATATTTATAACTTATGAAGGGTTGTTAATTTTGGAACACACACAGCTTATATATATCAATATTTGCAGTATATTTCCATGGCCACCGGTTGTTGATATACTCATCTCTTGCATTTGCACATGCAAGTGACGCTAATTGTGTCATTCTAGTGTTGGTATATTAAATATTAACCCAAGTGTGGAGTATTGCATCAGAACAACCCAGTATAAGACACTTCAGAATTAAACGATTGCTATTATACTGTATGGAAGATCCATCCAATTAGTTGGTTGTCTGCACTTAGTAAATACTATATCAGTATTTGACTTATTGCTTGAGCTGGAGGAGGCGTGAAGGTGTTATTATTGAGCGCTAAGTTATAAACAACTTAGCCTCCCCCGGAAGGGAGCCGGTCGGCCGAGCGGACAGCACGCTGGACTTGTGATCCTGTGGTCCTGGGTTCGATCCCAGGCGCCGGCGAGAAACAATGGGCAGAGTTTCTTTCACCCTATGCCCCTGTTACTTAGCAGTAAAATAGGTACCTGGGTGTTAGTCAGCTGTCACGGGCTGCTTCCTAGGGGTGGAGGCCTGGTCGAGGACCGGGCCGCGGGGACACTAAAGCCCCGAAATCATCTCAAGATAACCCCTTTCAAGCAGAGGCCCTGGAAGCCACCTCTACTCACAGCTTCAGTGGCAAATACGACACATAAGTTGAATGTCCTTCGACAGAATGTCACACACGACAGAACAATGGCTATGAGGCGGGGCCCTAGAGCTAAAGTTGGCTTCTGGTGGAGCACCATAGCCTGCATGACCTACGCAGAGGTCATCGTAGCCCTGAGCTTTTTCCTCGTGTTGGTCAACAACCTCAACAATTATCGTCAGCGGGGATGAGTATGAATTTCATTGGGTCCGAAACGCTTAGTTCATCTCTGTCTGTCTGTCTCTCTCATCAAGAGTGACCACAGCCGGCCCAGGACTGACCTACCTCACTCACGGCCGGAACACTGGTGGTGCTTTACAGTGGTAGGGATGGGCCGTGACCGGCGCTTGTGTGCGCACCAGTTGAAGCACTAGACACACACACACAGGTCGAGGGGCCCACATACAGGTCGAGGGGGCCGACACACAGGTCGAGGGGCCCACACACAGGTCGAGGGGCCCACACACAGGTCGAGGGGGCCACACACAGGTCGAGGGGCCCACACACAGGTCGAGGGGCCCACATACAGGTCGAGGGGCCCACACACAGGTCGAGGGGCCCACACACACAGGTCGAGGGGGCCCACACACAGGTCGAGGGGGCCCACACACACAGGTCGAGGGGCCCACACACAGGTCGAGTGGCCCTCACACAGGTCGAGGGGGCCAAGCTGGGCATTCAGGCCGTCTAGAGCAGTGGGGGCCCTCGAACGCTTTACCGTCATTACTCCTTTTTTTCTTCATATAGCGTCCTTATTAATGGCTTCCTACACGGATTAAAAGGCTGTCTCTAGTATTTTTCTGGTGGTATAACCTGTGCACTGCTTCCACTTATGGCCTCCTTACATAGTGCAAAATGGCCGCCCCTGCACCCCACGGGGTCATGGCCCCCACCCCAGGGGGTCATGGCCCCCCAGAGGATTCTAAAGAGTCAAAGAGATGATTTTCGAGAGCCCTCAAACTTTCCTATTGTTGTATGGTAACATATTAAAGTATTTATTTTGCCTGGAAGTACTGTAAGGCTTCATAAAAGGATGCTGTCTTGTGCTCAAACTATTCTTAAGTAGAGTAAGATGTCTTACTCGAGGAAAAACATAAAAACAAACATCGAATTAAAAATATGCTTTTCAAGAATCAAATAAACAAAAAAAAGTCTAAAATCATCGCTTCAAACCGAGAGAAAATTTGACTTGTAAATGATACAGTGAATAGCAGCCCCGGCAGCCCATCGCACAGTACTTGAACTAAACGTCCACGACACCTCGAGGCGGGAGAAGTCAATACCTTGGGGGAAAGTTTTAAACCAAATGAGTTGGAGAGAGACTTCACACCGGTGAGAACGCCTTCAGAGTCAATAAACCCTCCCCCCCCCCTTACATGTGACAAGTTCAAGTTCAAGTATGTTTATTGAGACAAGAAAATACACCTCAAAGGCAGAGAGTAGGTAAGGCTATTTCTACCCCCCTCTCTCTTTACGTGTGGCGCCACGGGGCTAGGTGATTTGACTGGACATGAGTAGTTTGCACTCATGCACCGCTATATCCCTTGACTAGGTCTCAATGAGACACTCAGGTAAAAAAAAAAAAATTATATATATATATATATATATATATATATATATATATATATATATATATATATATATATATATATATATATTAGTAGTATTTTGGTAGCAGTCTTTCCTGTAGACATATTATTAAATATGACCGAAAAAGTAAGATGAATAATTCTAACGCGAATTATCTCAATCTTTCGTACATTTCTTTTCACTGTTGGAGGTAATTCAAAAATCAATTCTCCAAAATTCATTTTTATTTCTAGTCTGACGCGACACGAGCGCGTTTCGTAAAACTTATTACATTTTCAAAGACTTTAGTTTACAAATACACAACTGAATAGAACTTACGCATCTCCGATTTTGTTTATATCTACATTTGAGTGAGGTGGATGGGGTGAGGTGGCATTAATAGGGTATTAATTTCATCAACACAAGACAGAACAAGAGGTGGCATTAATAGGGTATTAATTTCATCAACACAAGACAGAACACGAAACAATGGGTATTGAAATGGAAGTGATTGTAGAAAGCCTATTGGTCCATATTTCTTGATGCTTCTATATTGGAACGGAGTCTTGAGGTGGGTAGAATATAGTTGTGCATTAATTGGCTGTTGATTGCTGGTGTTGACTTCTTAATGTGTAGTGCCTCGCAAACGTCAAGCCGCCTGCTATCGCTGTATCTATCGATGATTTCTGTGTTGTTTACTAGGATTTCTCTGGCGATGGTTTGGTTGTGGGAAGAGATTATATGTTCCTTAATGGAGCCCTGTTGTTTATGCATCGTTAAACGCCTAGAAAGAGATGTTGTTGTCTTGCCTATATACTGGGTTTTATGGAGCTTACAGTCCCCAAGTGGGCATTTGAAGGCATAGACGACGTTGGTCTCTTTTAAAGCGTTCTGCTTTGTGTCTGGAGAGTTTCTCATGAGTAGGCTGGCCGTTTTTCTGGTTTTATAGTAAATCGTCAGTTGTATCCTCTGATTTTTGTCTGTAGGGATAACGTTTCTATTAACAATATCTTTCAGGACCCTTTCCTCTGTTTTATGAGCTGTGGAAAAGAAGTTCCTGTAAAATAGTCTAATAGGGGGTGTCCTGTTTGCAAACTTCTACATGGGTACCATCGAGCAAAAAGTCTTAGTCGACATGAACTTGAATCCGGCCATATACTGCAGGTATGTTGACGACATTTTTACACAGGTACTTGATGTCAGACATCTGCAGGAGCTGAAGGAGGCATTTGAGCAGAGTTTCGTGCTGTGTTTCACTTACGAGATGGAAAAGGATGGGAAGCTGCCCTTTCTATATGTAACAGTCATGGAAAAGAGCGGAGGTTTCCACACTGCAGTCTACACTAAGGAAACGAACATAGGAATGTGCCTAAATGCCAACAGCGACTGCCCAGACAGGTACAAGAGGAGTGTTGTTAACGCATATGTCGACCGTGCTCTAAGCCACAGCTCAGAATGGAAGCAAGTCGACGAAGAACTCTGTAGGGTAAGGCAGGTCCTAGTCAACAACGGCTTCTCCAATGGTTTCGTCGAAGACATCATAAGAAGGAAAGTGAAACGCCATGCAACCTCTGAAGAGACAACTAACACAACACCTATACCCCCTATTAGACTATTTTACAGGAACTTCTTTTCCACAGCTCATAAAACAGAGGAAAGGGTCCTGAAAGATATTGTTAATAGAAACGTTATCCCTACAGACAAAAATCAGAGGATACAACTGACGATTTACTATAAAACCAGAAAAACGGCCAGCCTACTCATGAGAAACTCTCCAGACACAAAACAGAACGCTTTAAAAGAGACTAACGTCGTCTATGCCTTCAAATGCCCACTTGGGGACTGTAAGCTCCAAAAAACCCAGTATATAGGCAAGACAACAACATCTCTTTCTAGGCGTTTAACGATGCATAAACAACAGGGCTCCATTAAGGAACATATAATCTCTTCCCACAACCAAACCATCGCCAGAGAAATCCTAGTAAACAACACAGAAATCATCGATAGATACAGCGATAGCAGGCGGCTTGACGTTTGCGAGGCACTACACATTAAGAAGTCAACACCAGCAATCAACAGCCAATTAATGCACAACTATATTCTACCCACCTCAAGACTCCGTTCCAATATAGAAGCATCAAGAAATATGGACCAATAGGCTTTCTACAATCACTTCCATTTCAATACCCATTGTTTCGTGTTCTGTCTTGTGTTGATGAAATTAATACCCTATTAATGCCACCTCTTGTTCTGTCTTGTGTTGATGAAATTAATACCCTATTAATGCCACCTCACCCCATCCACCTCACTCAAATGTAGATATAAACAAAATCGGAGATGCGTAAGTTCTATTCAGTTGTGTATTTGTAAACTAAAGTCTTTGAAAATGTAATAAGTTTTACGAAACGCGCTCGTGTCGCGTCAGACTAGAAATAAAAATGAATTTTGGAGAATTGATTTTTGAATTACCTCCAACAGTGAAAAGAAATGTACGAAAGATTGAGAAAATTCGTGTTAGAATTATTAATCTTACTTTTTCGGTCATATTTAATAATATATATATATATATATATATATATATATATATATATATATATATTGGTGTATACTGGCAGCAGGTTTTCTTTCAAACATGTTTCATTGAATATGACCGCCTATTCTGTGTTTATTATTTTCTGGTTTAGGGCTTCTATCCCTCTAACTATTTTCTTAGCATCAGGGCTTAATTGAAATAGGAGTTCTCCAAAACTCATTTTCGTACTTTTGAGGTGAAGAAAAGAAGTGATTTACTATAGAGTGTATTACACTTATTTATATAATTTGCACAACGTTTCGAACCTCCATGGTTCATTCTCAAGTGAACAGATCGTACAATACTAGTTGATTTTATACCCGCACTGGGTCAGGTGATAATACAATAAATGTGAAAACAAGATGGCTTCTGGAACTGAAAAAACAAGAGTTACGAGGAGAGATTACAGACATTAAACATGCCTCAACTAGATGATAGAAGAAAAAGAGGTGATATGATCACCACATACAAAATTCTAATTGGAATCGACAAAATTTACAAAAGAGTAATTCCTGAAACCAGCAACTTCACGAAGAAGAGGACACAGATTCACGCTAAGGAAACAGAGGTGGCTAAAAAATATTAGAAAAGGTTATTTTGCAGAGTGATAGACGGTTGGAACAAGCTTAAGTGAGAAGGTGGTGGAGGCCAAGACCGTCAGTAGTTTCGAAGTGTTATATGACAAAGAGTGCTGGGAAGACGGGACACCACGAGCGTAGCTCTCATCCTGTAACTACACTTAGGTAATTACACACACACAAATTGTTCTGTGTCACCTCACTGCTGCTGTGAACGAAGAAGCTCCAGCTATCACATAAGTCGTACATAAATTGGTATGCATAAAAGTTTTTAAATTTAAGAGCAAAGTTACGGCAATTACTTAATTGTACAAAAACTAAGACATACAATTTTAATATTTATCGGTGATTATAACAGTTATTTTATATGGAAATAGATTAAATGTGACCCACTAGTGTTTTTGTAGAGATAACGAGATATGGATAAGGTTTAGAGAGGGAGAACATTGTTGCCACCACAAGGGGTGAGTGACAGGTGGAGTATATGATTGGGATGAGTGACAGGTGAAGTAGATGATTACTGTTCTTCCATACACACACAAAGGCCACACGCCTACTCCTTCAAACACACCGTAAAGAAATGAAAATAATGAGATCTTTGGACAATTGCTGTCTCACGGCTAGACCATATTACCCAGTAATCCGTCCTCACACTAGGTTGGTTAAAGCAGCGGCCGTCCGCCCCAGACAACCCGTCCTCATACTAGGCTGGTTAAAGCAGCGGCCGTCCTCCCCAGACAACCCGTCCTCATACTAGGCTGGTTAAAGCAGCGGCCGTCCTCCCCAGACGCATTCATCAATTTTAACATACTGTGTATTAAAAATTGGTTTGTTCTCATTTATAAAATAATATTATCATATATAAAAATTAGGTGTATAGTTTGGTGTAGGTTAGGTGTTTAGGTTCTCTTGGCGATTATTTGTATTTGAAGTTCGTGGGTGAAGCATTTATAGAATTGTGGTTTGAACAGAGGTCGTGAGTGACGCACTTGTTCCGGAAGTGTTCGGACGTCATCAGTTGTGAGTCGTGTGTAACAACCCGTCCTCGACTCAAGTACATTCCATCCAGCGGTCGACCCCACAGACGCATTCATAAATGTTTACATGCTGTCCATGCAAAACTGGAATTTTCTCAAATATAAATTAATAATATAATATATTAGCATGTTGTGTGTGTATAATGAGCAACACGAATGAACTACATGGATAAGGCACTCAGTGGATAAGGAGGTAGAAGGATCAGGAAGACACTTTATGGA